GGACGGATTTCGTCGGAGATGGGTGAGAGAGTGAGAGATGGAGATGGGACTGAGTTGTGATTTTAGGTTTTAGGTTATGAGTTGCGATTACGGGATATACTGTGGACAGTTCAGTGTTCCAATATATTAATATTCATGTTTGGAATTTAAAAATAAAATACTTGGCCAGGATACTAATGGCGCTTTGAAAATCGCATTGCGATTATGTAAATCGCGTTGCGAAAGTCAGTATCGCGTTGCGAAAGTAAGTATCTCGTTGCGATTTTGTATTATCGCATTGCGATAGTAAGTATCGCATTGCGATTTTCCCAATTCGCATTGCGATTTTCCCAATTCACGTTGCGATTTACTTATTCGCATTGCGAATTGGGAAAATCGCAACGATACTGTAGACCATCGCAACGCGATTTTCAACTATCGCATTGCGAAAATGCAACGCGAATTTGCGATAATGGAGATCGCGTTGCGAATTAGCGATCGCATTGCGATTTTGTTGGTCATTTTGGTAAATCCGGAAAAAGTTGGTTAAAATCGTATATTATATGAGATTTTTGGTCACTGAGGTTATTTTCTCTTTTATAAACTACCTTTAACTTAAAACTTTAAATTGATAATCTTAAACTCTAAATTATAACCTCATAACCTTTAAACCTTAAATTTAAAACCTTAATCTCTAATTTTAAACTTTAATCTCTAATTTTAAACTCTTAATTTAAAGTTTTAAGTGAGAGATAAAGTATATGATGATACAATTGAATAACTTGAAAGATTAAATTAATGCAAAAATTAGATAAAAGTGAAAACAATATGTTGAATTTACTACAAGGGTAAAAGAGTAAATGGGTAAAAGTGACCTTTTTTTTCTTTTTAAAATATAAGGAACTCTTGATTAAGTTAGTAAGAACCTAAAAACATTTGCTTCTTTTTCATAACCTTCCATAGCAATTTAAAAAAAATGAGAGAAAAAGTTGTATTTCGTCTTTCTCAGTTATTCTTGGTAGCCATTTATGAATGTTTATGGAATATAGAGAGTTATAAATCAATATTAATTGGCGTGGGACATTGGTGATTATTAAAAACACTTTACTTTTACCGATGAGCGTGTGATAATTATCACGGGCTAGAAACTTGGGTCCGAGACATTGGTGTAAGCGTCCGACCAAGAGGTTCAATACTGAGAATCGGACTTACTGTGACCACCAGACTAAGCCAATTCTTGGAGAATGCTTAACAAGTCCGTGAAGGAACTATTCCGAGGCATCCGAGAGAAGCGACGAGGGCGATGGGGGCAGTGTTGTCGAGGCTCGTGGATTCGAACCGAGACATGCGAGCAGATATCTGTAAGAGAATTATACAGACTATTGGGCTTGCCCAGAACCATCAGATCTGGCCCGTTCCTTGGAGGATTCTAGAAGGATAAGGTTAGGTGGGATTTCCTTGATTTAAGGGATTGGGTTAGGTGAGAATCAATCCTAGCCCTTCATGTAAAAGGATCTTAGCCATCGATTGAGAGGGAGCTCCCCTATAAATAGAGAGCTCTCATCCTCATTTGTAATCACCTAATTCCATTCTTCTTTTTATGAGAGAGTAATAAAGCTCTAAGGCATTTGCTCTATTCTTTCTGAGTTCTTTAGTTTCTTTGCTCTTGTTGCCTATCTTGGTGGCCAAGAATAGCCACCTTCGTGTTAGCACTTCCACACGATAGTCCGACCTTGTGGCTCCAAGTAGCCACGTTAGTGTTTAAAGCTTCCGAAATCTGAAGCCTTGAGGGCTTGGTTCCAACCTTTGTGAGTTTGCACACTCACTTAGCTTGGGTAAGGCTTACTTAGTCGCTGAGAAGACCGAGGAGCGTCTAAAGCGTCTAAGGTCGCACGACCCGTCAGACATTGACTTTGATATTCCGACGGTTTGAGGCGTCGAAGTTCTGGGGGCGTAACAAGTGGTATCAGAGCGGGTTCTGTTTACTTACTCTTCGTTCAATTTACTTGATAATTGAAATGGGGCACAAGAAAAGAGGAGTTTCCGCACGCAAAGGCAATGAGTGCCAAGGTGGGAAACGGGAAGAGAGTTCGTTGGGCTCAAGAGCGTCATCGATGTCCAAGCATGAGGATGCCGTGATGAGTTCGCAAGGAATGCTCGAGGCAATGAAAGCACACCAAGGGGAGCCGGTTCTCGAGGTAGAGAGGCTCAAGGGTGACGCCGAAGGCATGTCTGAGTGAGACACGTTCTCTCATGAAGACGAGGAGAGTCTTGATGAGGAACAAGGAGATGAACTCAGAATGTACGGGAAATGGGCCTACTTGATGGATGGTTTTGGTGACCACGCAAGGAGGCTCTTCAAGATGGAACAGATTTCAACTTCGTGGGAACAAAGGGTCGAGAGACTTGAGAAAGCCGAGGATGAGGCCAAGCTGACCCAGGGTGTTGTGGAGTCCCGCCTTGATAGATTGGAGTCCATGGAGGGCAGATTCAAGGTCGAGATGCAACGAGTTCTAGACGAGTTGGAGACGGTTAGAGGGAGAAATACCCAAGAAGCCGAGGTAGCGGCTTTGAGGAACGAGGTGGATTAGCTCAAGAGGGAGCTGCTCATTTGCAAGGAAGCAATGAGTGAATGGGGTGCGCTCAAGACCTTCTTGGAAGGACTTAGACCAGGGGCGATGCTCGGGGGAGAGCAAGGTGATGCCCAGAGACTTTCGGGAGCCATAGCTGTAGCCGAAACGCCGACTGTGCTTGCAGATGTCAAGCCAAGGAGCGATGTGTCATCCAGGCCCATGCCCATGGATAGTGGCAACAATGGGGGAGACCGGGAAAAGGTGCAACGGGGAGATGGTAGAGAAAGCTCTTCGAGTGGCCAAGTTGAGCCATCGACTGTTCGCGGCCAAGGAAAGCCATCGGGAAAGAATGACAAGGCCAAGTTCGGGGAAAAGAAGAATGGGAGCAAGGAAAAACTGAAATGCTACTTCTGTGATGGTCCTCACTTGATTAGAGGATGTCCCGAGAAGCGTCGCCTTACAACCATTATGAGGATGATGAGAGAAGGAGAGGTAGCAAGTGTTGGCGGAGGCACAAGTAAAAGTGCCAAGTCAAGGGAAAGACTTGGTCCGATTGATGGGATCAATGCGGCCAAGCAAGGTTCAAAACGAGGCAAGGTTGTCGATGATGAGGCGGTCGAGCCGAGAAGGAAGCCATATGCGATTACGAATGATCGAGTAATCAAGTCAGGGGCAAGACTTGATGAGGCTACATCTTCCAAAGTAGCCAAGTCGAGGGGCAAGCATGGTACGACTACAAGTTCTCAAGTAGTCAAACCAGGATCGAGACGTGCCAAGACTGCGAGTGTCAAAGCAGTCGAGCACAGGAACAGACCCGGTGCGATAGCAAGTGATAATGCCGTCAAGCCGAGGGTGCAAAGTGAGCAGGTTCGCTCACAATATGCCAAGATGGAGGCGTGGTCCAAGTTGAGGCGTCTCAGGCATAAGGGGGCACTAAAGGAGTATGTGAGCCGATTCAGAAGACTCATGCTCAAAGTCCCGAGTTTGACTGAAGAAGATGCGTTCTTCACCTTCATGTTCGGGTTAAAGCCGTGGGCACAGAAAGTGTTGGAGCGAAGGGAAGTCAAGGGGCTGTTGAAAGCCTTGACAATCGCCGAATCCATTAAAGAGTTTGGAGTCAAGAAGAACAAGACTTCCAAAGCAAAACCCAAAGCCGAGGGTAGCGGCAAGAGATTTCGAGATGAAGGTAAGTCGGATGATGAGGAAGGTTGTTCCTCAAGTGGCAGAGCAAGTCCACTCAATGATGAACCAGATGGTGGATCTGGGGAAGATGTCTGCACTAGTTCAAGTGACACAGACACTAAGCCGAGGTGGGAATCAATCCTAGCCCTTCATGTAAAACGATCTTAGCCATCGATTGAGAGGGAGCTCCCCTATAAATAGAGAGCTCTCATCCTCATTTGTAATCACCCAATTCCATTCTTCTCTTTATGAGAGAGTAATAAAGCTCTGAGGCATTTGCTCTATTCTTTCTGAGTTCTTTAGTTTCTTTGTTCTTGTTGCCTATCTTGGTGGCCAGGAGTAGCCACCTTCGTGTTAGCACTTCCACACGATAGTCCGACCTTGTGGCTCCGAGTAGCCACGTTGGTGTTTAAAGCTTCCGCAATCCGAAGCCTTGAGGGCTTGGTTCCAACCTTTGTGAGTTTGCACACTCACTTAGCTTGGGTAAGGCTTACTTAGTCGCTGAGAAGACTGAGGAGCGTCTAAAGCGTCTAAGGCCGCACGACCCGTCAGACCTTGACTCTGATATTCCGACGGTTTGAGGCGTCGAAGTTCTGGGGGCGTGACATAATACTCCGGTACCTCAAACCGTCATTTCAATTAAAAAACATTTTATCTTTATCAATAATCAATTGATTAAGTAGAATGAGACATTAAATTTTTTAAATAATATTAAGAGTTTGAATTATGACATTTGAATAAAATAAATTGAACTGATAGAGTCGTCTTATAATAATCTCCGTAAAACTTGATCTGAATTAATCAATCAATAAATTAAATATTAATGATTAATTTAAAATAAAAATTTTATTTTTTAAAATAATTATATGATTCCTGCCTGTTTTTAAAACGTTATTTTCCCTAATTCAATCACTATTTAATTTTATTTTGTTTTTCTATTCATTATTTCGCCCACCGTACCAAACTCCGGTAAGAAGTTAAAAGTAAAAAAACAAACAAAAGGAATTAGCGCTTGTTGTGATTCTCTCTCGACCCCTCGCTTTCGCTTTCGCAGTAATAGTAGTAATTTGTTGTGGTGAAGTTTCCGTTTTGTCTTTGAGTGAAAGGTGAATTTTTTATTTTAATTATTTATATTAAAAAAGAAAAAGGAGTTTTCATAACATAAAATTGTTTTTGAATCACTGTCACAGTTCTCAACTGTCTCTCCGTGTTCATCTCGCGTTGTTAAACAGCGAATTATTAAAACCAAAAACAACCTTAAAGCATCAAGCTTTTCCTTCCTTTTTCATTCTCTACGTTTATATCGAACCCAAGCTAAGCCTTTTAACTCTTCGCTCTCTTTATTTCATTGTCTTCCTTGTTTTCTCGATCTCGATCTTGGGATCGCTTGAAGATTCTATAAAAGCGGTGGCATTTTCAGTTGTGGGTGGAAGTTAAGATTTTGTGTAGGCGGATTTCTCAGAATATTGAGCGGCTTTTAATTTAAAACAATGTTGAACTTAACTGCTGGGTTTGAAGTGATATGGAACTGGTTGTAATACGACAACAAGATGACGCTTTACATTGGTCGCGAAGCTTCAAAGGTGTGTGTGTGTGTGTGTTCTTCTTCTTCTTTTCTATTCGAGAAATGAGAAATTATTTATGGATTTTGATTTCATATCTGGGTTTTTGTTCTTCTAGTTCTGGAAGAGAATTTGTACGGAGACAACTACAGAGATCAATCTTCTTCTAGACAATTGGAAATACGTTCTTGCCGGTCTCATTTTTCAGGTTTCATTTTGTTTTTATCTTCATTCGAATTAAACCCGGGTTTTCTATTATCAATATTTAGTCCATTTGAATAATTTCAAACGTTGATTTCTTCCTCAATAAAGAAAAGGAAAAAAAATAGCGGCTGGATGTGTAGTGGGAAAGCAAGCATCTTTTTTTTTTAATGGAGATGCTTGTTTTGATGAAAAGTGGGATCTGGTGAACTGTAGTGATCGTGGTTTCTTATACTTAGAGAAATAAAGCTTAAATTTCTATCATGATTCATACGGATAAAATTGCTTTAGCAATGACCTAAAAAGAGTGTTTAAGCACTAGTATGTTACCTTAAATTGCTTCTCAAAAGTTTTTCGGGTCATCCAAGCTTGTTTAGTGTTTACCTCTTCCAAATTTGAAGTGTGTTATTTTATGATCATTGTAGAAATTAGAACTTGAATTTTAGTTGGCTGTTGCTTTTGTTTTGTGTCTTAAATGTGCATTTACTCTCTGCAGTACATCCATGGTCTAGCTGCCCATGGAGTTCATTATTTACACCGGCCAGGGCCAACACTTCAGGATCTTGGATACTTTCTTCTTCCAGTAAGAATAAGTTTCTTCTGTTTTTGTTCTTTTCTTTTATCTAGTATGAGTATTATTTGGTTAAATGAATTCTTATTTTGTTTTCATGTAAATTTAGGAGCTTGGGCAAGATAAAGCCTACATCAGTGAGACGGTTTTCTCCTTTGTTTTTCTATCCTTTGTCTTGGTAATGTTATTCTGATGTTTTCTTTTGGTGGTGATTGTTATTGTTCGTTTATTTCAGTTCTATTAGCATCTTTCGCGTCTCCAGTTGTAACATGAGAACTGCTATTTTGCAGTGGACTTTCCATCCTTTCGTCTTCAAGAGCAAAAAGATCTATACAGTTATAGTTTGGTGCAGGGTGCTAGCATTTTTAGCTGTGAGTATTGCTGCTTAGTGTTTTGTTATTAATTCACATGACCTTGTTCCAGGTCTACTTTTTAGGTTCTTTCTTCTGTCATATTGCGTCGATGTATGTTACCGTGTTTAAGTGAGAATCAACTAAAGCATTGTTGGGTTCTCCTATTAATTACTAGACGAATAATTGCCCTCGTTCTCTGTGTATTAATTCACTGAGTTGCTAATTCACTCAGCTGAGATCTTTTTGGCTTAAATAGATTTCAATTATGAAAAGGCTGATGATCTCCCCCCCCTTTGTAACCAGAGGTGTCTATCAATTTGATTTACTATTTTCATCAATCACCTTTTTACCAAAACTGAATTCAAGGCCGAAGTTGTTCGTCTACCTTCAAATTTGATGATTTTTGATAAATCATACTACCTTAAGTAAGTATTTTACTTACAGTTTGTCATCTTTGTTTATTTATTTGCTGCAGGCTTCTCAGTTTCTCCGAATCATCACGTTCTTTTCTACTCAGCTTCCTGGACCAAATTATCATTGTCGAGAGGTATAGACTTGAAATCATGTGTGTATTTGCTCTCTTCTATATGCTTACATTTTGAAATGGTATTCTTTTATGAATCTTTTTCTGTGCTGAACATTTGTTCTCTGGGAGTTAGTATAAGAAATGAAAGTTGATTGTAAGATCATTTACTGAACATGTTTATTGCAGGGTTCAAAGCTTGCCAGGTTGCCAAAACCGGCTAATGTGCTAGAAGTCCTCTTAATTAATTGTATGTATTTTTATTTTATTGCTTTAATCAGTTTATCCCTTTTAAAGATACATGTATGTTTTCTTAATAATTATTTTGGATCCTTTTCCCGTTAAAATTTTGCAGTCCCTCAAGGTGTAGTATATGGTTGTGGTGACTTGATTTTTTCATCACATATGATCTTCACCCTGGTCTTTGTGCTCACCTATCAGAAATATGGAACACGAAGGTTAAACATATCTTATTCCTTTCACTGCTTTTAAGTCATTAGCCCCAAAGGTAAAGGGAAAAAACAAAGGAAATATAACTATTTGAGCATTGAGAGATTTTATTTTAAGGACCATTTTTATAACATTTTTTATTCACAATTAGCAAAACATTTAGATAAAATTGTACCCCAAATTTGTTTGATTAGCTTTCTTGTACACAATCAGGACAATTATTCTTGCTTGTTCTTCCACATGGGCGAGTAAAATTGATGTGTTCCTGATGGTATATTGTTGTACAATTGCAGGTGTATAAAGCAGTTTTCTTGGTTGTTAGCTATTATTCAAAGTCTCTTGATTGTAGCATCCCGCAAACATTACACAGTTGACATCGTTGTTGCGTGGTATTAAATCTACTTTTGAAATTTCTGTTTTGATTATTAAAGGTTTATTTTTCAATTTAGTTTATTATATATGATTTTTCTGCAGGTATACCGTTAATTTAGTGGTATTCTTCATAGACAAGAAACTGCCAGGTTAGAATGTTTTGACCTTATCTAAAATTTGAATCTAACAGTATTTTAATTCTTCCCCCCAGTTGTTGGGCATAAACCTTGGCAGAAGTTTTAACAGTATTACATTGCTGCAGAATTGCCTGACAGAAGCAATGGAAATTCACCTGTTTTGCTACCATTGAGCACCAAAGACAAGGATACTAAGACCAGAGAAGAGAACCACAAGCTCTTGAATGGGAATTCTGTAGACCCTGCAGATTGGGCATAGTAAATTTATTGGTTAGTTATTTTCTTTGAATATCATCGTGATGATACCCAGTTGAGGATGACATTTTTGTTTTCCTCCTTTTTTTCCCCCTTTCACAGGCCGAGAAGTCTAGTTAATGGCAATGGAATATATGTCGATACCACATTGAATGTTTGCATAGATGAGGGAAGCTTCTGATACAGTGTAATGGGGCTGCTTGAATCCTTATGATCTTTGATTTAAGGCATACCTCCTTCCAAGAGTGGTAAATTTGATGATTTGTATTCTTAGAAAACAGAACTTGAGTAGTTCATTGTGCAGTGCTGTGTAAATACATCAGTCATCATCAGCATCAGCATCAACTTGTATCGTGGAAGTTCCCGAGTTCCTATCACTGCTATCAATCTCTTTGTCATGTTGATATAACCCTTATTTACTGTAGCTGACGGAATACTGATATTCTGTCAACAATGTGAATTGGTGAAAATTTAATTGTCATTCTCTCTATGCCGAAGGCTACTGAGATGAACATGAACTAGTTTAAAAGTAATATAAAATGTTTATCATGTTTCATTTCAAGCCAGGATTGCAGGTGGGGGGGACTTGAATATAGAAATGAAATTTCTAACTAAGATCTGAAACACAATGAAAAGTGTCCAAGGGGTAGGAAGTGTGGCCCCTTGATGTTGTGATGTTGTGTTGGGGGTAACCTGGCTATGATTCCTGTAAGGCTGTAACCAAAAAAGGCTGATGTTGACAGATTCCAGCACATGTGACATGTCTTCTTACTGTTTTCATGTGCTGGTTACGTAGTGCTGTACGTTGGAATGCCACAATCGTAGCTGGAAAGGCTTCTTTTTTCCGTATATATCTAAGCTAGGCTGCCTTATCTTTCATGCTCGTGTATGGACCCTTTCTTAAATTGTTTCACATTTACTTTTGAGCAAACCATAATTCGAATAGGATCCATCTCTTTAACATGGTTGGAAAGGATTTAAATGAAAAGGAAGGGTATTTACTGTATATCTAAGTTGATCTTTATGTACGTTATACATGTATTTCAAGCATGTATACGGACTATAATATAACAACCCTACTCTTGGTTGCTCATGTGGGCTCTATTTGAAGTGTGCTTGTGTCAGACAAGTTGACAGCAAAGTGGCCCCATACATATTTGGGTGATCTTGTAAGCAAAGACTATGCCGGCGCAAAATATTGGACAATATAAAGAGAGCATGTCTGATTTAGAGGCCGATGCGAAAGTAGAGTGGCGTTTGGTTCGTTGGAATATTTATGAGGGAATTGTAATCTGTGAAAGAATTGGAATCCAATTACATATTTTGTTTGGTTCGCAGACATGTAAGATGAATTTGATTTCAATAATATAAAATGACATAATTACCCTTTTTATTTTTTTTGCTTTATTTTAGTTTATTTTACAATTTACATGTAGTAATATATTATAAAAAATTAAAAAAATATTAAATTTTCATTTTATTGATTGATTATTCATTTCAATAAATTATAAAAATCATGTTAATAAACATTATAAGTTAAAATCATCGCAATCAAAATATGTTAATAAGTTGCCAAAAGGTAGAGTAATATTTCGATACATTCCAATCGGAGTATGTTAATTAGTTACCAAAAAATATACCAAAAACTATTTTTATTCAATATATGAATTAGAAACTCGACCCGACACGACTCAAAATAATAAAAAAATTATTTTTATTCAATAAAAACATTGACTTAATTGAAAAAAATTATATATAGAGGGGTATTATTATAATTATTCCTAAATATATAAGGTAAAATTATATATTTTTTCGGGTCGGTCCGGTTTTTTCACCCTAAACCCGAACCTGACCCAAATATCACACTTAAAAAACCCCAACCCGACTCTACCCGAATATCACACTTAAAAAACCCAACCCGACCCGAACAAAATAAAGTTTCATCCGACCCGACCCGAATATATGAATTAGAAATCCGACCCGACCCGACCCGAATTATATATATTTTCGGGTCGGTCCGATTTGTTTCACCCTAAACCCGAACCCGACCCGAACAAAATAAAGTTTCATCCGACCCGACTTGAATATATGAATTAGAAATCTAACCCGACCCGACCCGAAATAATAAAAAATTATTTTTGTTTAATAAAAACAGTGACTTAATCCGACTCGACCTGAATTATATATATTTTCGGGTCGGTCCGATTTTTTTCACCCTAAACCCGAACCCGACCTAAATATCACACTTAAAAAAATCCGATCCGACCCGACCAAAATAAAGTTTCACCCGACCCTACCCGACCCGAAATAATAAAAAAATATTTTTATTCAATATATGAATAAGTTACCAAATGATTGATGAGGGTAGTATGGTCAAATTTCAATTCCTTCCAACAAGGGAATTGAATTCATCCATTTTTTTATGGAATTCACTTTCCCTCATTGATGGAATTGAATTCCATCAGGGATTCCAATTCCCTTGAAAAACTTGAACCAAACATGAGAAAGTGGTAGAATTGGATTCCAATTCCCACCAATTCCAAGAGATTCCATCAAACCAAACGCCTCATAAGATTCCTAGTTTATTATTAATACCATAAATTTTTCATGTTTTTAACTTTATTTCTTACATGATAAGCAAACATGTACCAGGGAGAAAGCAACAGCCAGGCCCATAGCCCTCGGCTAACTCTAATCATATAAACCAAAACCCACAGACTCTCTTCTCTCAAAATTATTCCTCGAATTAAAATTTATTTATGGAATTGTAAAGATCACAGGGGAGCAGAGGCAGGACCCTCACCGACCAATGACCCTGAAACAGGACCAGGGGCTGCACCAGCACTCAAGAGCTCGATCACTGTACGCCGAGGGTTGCTGCGCTGAGCGTCACAGAGATCTGCCAATAACACTCCTGCAAGCGTAGAACATACCTTAACTTCCATTCCTAGTATAATATATTCCTTTGATTGAGCCACAAGCAAAGCATCATGCAGACACTACTTTCACGTACGTGTAAGCAATATATGTTCCAAAGGCATGGCAACCTAGACTACTCTAGATGTAAATAAAATTATTACTATAACTACACACTGATATTGAGATGTCAGCGAGAAAATCATTCTAAAAACAAATTATATATATTACCTTCACCGGCGGCCAAATTGAAGTAAAGGTCGATGATGTTGGGGCAATTTTGGTAGCAAGCCGGGGCACAAAGCTTGGAAGTAAACTGTGGCTGGAGGAGGGCGTCAGATGAAATGCCGGTGGAGGTTCTATCAACCCCACAAGCACTCACACATTCATCGCTCTCCATATAATTGACCATTGACACCACCACCACCTGTGATGTCCTGCATTGGTACCCGTCTTTCTCTACCGCTGTTTCCAACAAACATCTCTTTCCAGATGTTGCAATCGAAAACGCACACACTTCCGTTGGCAAATATTCGCAAATAATCTCAGCTGCAAAAGTAGACGGTTATGTAACAAGAATTAAAGCATTTGGCATAGTGGTTGATGCATGACTTATTTATTCAAAGAACTTCATATATGAATATATAAGTGTTTTGAATACGTACCTAGAGAAGCATGAAGGAAAAGAGAAGACAGGAAGAGAAACAAGGGGAATTTTAAAGAAGCCATAGTTAAAGTGATGATCTAAGCTAGTTTGTGGGTTTATTTGGAAGGAGATGATAAAACAGGGCGGTCTATTTGTGTTTGTGAGGTAGCGTGATAGGTAACGTATATAGAGATGAAAGAAATTTGAACAAATTAAGAATTGGGCTTTAACATTGAAGACGCCTTTGCCGTTTACCAGTCTCTCTCTCAAGCCTTTGGATTTCTCGTCTTTAAACTTTTGTTTTGTATCATATCTTTATTCTTTTTGTTGGTTAGTTTAGGATTCGATTCTTTGTTTGTTTTGATACATGCTTTCCTTGTTTGATAGTTAATAAAAATCTCAAATAACGGCACTGCATGTTGTATTGGTGTCAAAGAATGTGCCAGGTCACAAAACTCTAACTCCTGCGAAGTTGCAGTACATCAGCAAAAGATGGAGACGGAGATACTTTGTTCTGCAGCAAAGAAATTCCTCTAAGGACGAATAAAGTTAACAAGTTGAATCTTGTAAACATTACAAAATCAAGGGATCTAATTTAACTTAAATTAACATGTTCTGGGACTTTATCAAATCCAACAAGTTTTTCTTATGGGTTAAGCTGCTATGACCAACAAGTTTTGGACTGAACTGTAAAGAATGTTGGACTTCAGTGGCACCATAAAAAGCCCATATCCCAACCAAGTTGGTGTTTTGTATGCCACTTGTAAATTGTGAACAGCCAAGGATATTCTCTTGGGGGCTCTTAGAATGGACCATGATCACAAAAATGGAGGATAAGCGGGGTCCCATGCTGACAAATATCGTTTGGGAACCTCACATTCTCTCCTTCAGCATCCACAACATAACTGTAACACAAGATATAGTAATAAAAAAGAAGAAAATATCAATAACAGGAAGAGAAAGCAAAATTAAGCAGACAACCGAAATAATGGTTGCAGCAGCCGCAGCAACGGCATCATCTCAGCTACTGATATCAAGTTCACGCTCTTTGTCTCTGCTGTCACCTTTTCAGCTATGTGTCTTCGACTCCAAAACTCTTGTGCCATGCCCCACCAATGGCCGTGGCAGTAACAGTATCAAGAGAAGGCATGTTAGCTGCATGGCTGTGGGGACGGCAGCACAGGCAGAAACAAAGAGAAGTGGGTTTGAAATTCAGACGTTAACAGGCTGGTTGTTGAAGCAGGAACAGGCGGGTACTATTGATGCTGAGCTCACTATTGTCATTTCCAGCATTTCCATGGCGTGTAAGCAGATTGCTTCTTTGGTGCAAAGGGCTGGTATTTCCAACTTGACTGGTGTTCAGGGTGCTGTCAACGTGCAAGGAGAGGATCAGAAGAAGCTCGACGTCGTTTCTAATGAGGTCTTGTTATCAAACACTATCAACCATGAGTTCAGTTTATCATATCTATTTTGCAGTTAAACAGCATGTCAGTTCTTACTATAGTTGCCTGTTGTTTGTATGTTATTCCTTAAACAGTTCAATTTAAGGGACATGCAAATGCAATTGATTGTTGTCACTTCAAAGACCTAGCAGCCCTGCTTTTTTTTTCTGTTTCAAATAATTCTTGAAACTGACATTGCTTTTTCTTAGACCAGTTGATTGAAATAGGCAATACTTATGCTGCCAAGAAAGTTGATTAATTATGTTGCATTTACAGGTGTTCTCCAGCTGCTTGAGATCAAGTGGAAGGACAGGGATTATAGCATCAGAGGAAGAAGATGTGCCTGTGGCAGTAGAAGAGAGTTACTCTGGAAACTATATTGTGGTATTTGACCCACTTGATGGATCATCCAACATTGATGCTGCTGTTTCCACAGGTTCCATTTTTGGAATATACAGCCCCAATGATGAATGCCTTGCAGATGTTGATGAAGATGATTCCACTGTAAGTACAAATTTCCAGTCTATATGCAAATTTTGAGATTTTTTACCTTAAATAGTCTTAATTGTTTCATGCATGGACCACAGCTTGGTACAATAGAACAAAGATGTGTTGTGAATGTGTGTCAACCAGGGAGCAATCTGCTAGCTGCTGGCTACTGCATGTACTCGAGCTCTATAATCTTTGTCCTCACATTAGGAAATGGGGTGTTTGCATTCACCTTGGATCCCATGTATGGTGAATTCGTGTTAACTCAAGAAAACGTTCAGATCCCTAAAGCTGGGAAAATATATGCATTCAATGAAGGAAATTATCAATTGTGGGATGATAAGTTGAAGAAGTATATTGATGACCTCAAAGACCCTGGTCCTAGTGGCAAACCTTATTCTGCTAGATACATCGGAAGCTTGGTCGGAGACTTCCACCGGACACTGCTATATGGTGGAATCTATGGTTACCCTAGAGACAAAAAGAGCAAAAATGGTAAGCTGAGGCTCCTGTATGAGTGTGCACCAATGAGCTTTATTGTGGAACAAGCTGGTGGGAAAGGATCTGATGGACATCAAAGAATCCTTGATATCCAACCTGTTGAGGTGATAAACACTTAAACTACTACTTTTGCGATTTCCTTTTTGCTGGTAATTTTAGCAACTAGTGTTCTGTCTTTGTGTTCTTCTAACAGATCCATCAACGTGTACCACTTTATATCGGAAGCCAGGAAGAGGTAGAGAAACTGGAGAAGTATTTGGCTTGAGTAAGATGCAAAAGCAGAGAGAGTGTTGTTTTTGTTTATGGACATAAAGGAATACTTTAAGCTCCTATTCAAAATGAAGAAAGACTTGTCCTTATTCCGTAAATTTTATGGAATTCTATTGTTGGCATTGGCAGCATGTTAGAAAGGGTCATTGAACTATCTTTGCATTTTAAGAAATTAATATTCATCAATGTCAAATACGGGGAATGGATATAGTTAAATTATTCTAATTTTTATTGGTTTGCAGCCATCTTTTCTGCAATGTTGAATACCTCTGAAGGTGACAAGGGAAAACTGCCGGTTAGATTAAAAATAGAATGATGCCAGCATGCATGGAAATGCAATCGTTCTTGTTTATCTATAGTTTGACAGAGCTCAATTGCGTTGTAGCTATAAGTTTTTCAAAGAAAAGAAGAATACGAAACCGAGACCAAGATAATAGTTTACGCTCGAAACATTTGGGAAGCCATCTCCATTGTATATGACTATTTCTTATATTACATCTCTATTCAAAAGAGATAATTTGGCAAGTGCTTCTTTTTGCAACCAAATTATTGAAAGAATAATGAATACATTGATTCCACTTTGAAATATTTGTGTGTACCTGCCTGTATAACTAACCTGAGATGCCTCAGAATTATACTTCATCTTCTCTACTAACATAAGTTGCTAGTAGAGTCCTCTAACAACACTGAAACTGGTACAACTGCATAATTCAGATGACATTGAATCATGAAAGAAATCTGAAACCATAAGATTTCAGCCTTGTAGGTGGCTGCTTCAAGTCGTCCATGCAAGGGGAAAACATCTTTATTCAAGAATCCCAATCATCTATCCTGCAAATGGCTAATCCACCAATATACTATCTTTGAACTGAACTCAAATTCTTGTCTAGTTTCAGGCTACTAAACTGTTGCTCCGGGGATCTGCTACATATGCAACCAGGAAGGGGATTTGCATAAAAATTCTCCTCTACTCGTGGTGACTCTTGCGGCTGTCTTAGGTAAGGCGCTCCAAGCCTGTCAGAGTGTAAATTCTGAACTTTGAAAGAGAACTGTTCCCAAGATATTACATCCTTTTCCAGCTGATCAATGAGTTTGACAACATTTTTTCTGAAATAAAATAATAATGTAAGTACACCCACACTAGTCTTAATAGTATCACTGCCTGCAACAGATAAGTACAGCATACCTATCAGGGTTGATGGTCTTTCGAAATTCTTCAAACCTTCTATGCCCTTGAACTGTTTTAGCCATATGGCCGTCATAGGTATAAACAAAGACATCACTTTCAAGTGCCACAATATAATCCAAGGCAGCAAGGCGGTTCTGATATGGCTTGAACAGTTTCAGTTCTTCTTCGGTGGCCAAAGTAGAATGAGAGAAGACATTTGGATACTCTGATAGGAAAGCTGCCATGCTATCATGGCCATAAATATCACCTGCGACAATGTAGATAGGCGTGTTGGAAGGGTAGCCCATGGCTTTGAGAAACAAGGCTGCCTCTCTAGGTGTCATCGGACATCCCCCTTGACGTCGCCGTTCTTCACTGTTGATGTCTTTCTCCCTCCAGTGCCTAACATTGTATCTCATGACTGTCAGCTCATCTCTTTCTTCTTCAGTAAGGTTATGGATGCAGCCTGTGAATGCAAGCATATCTTTCTCATACCTGCAATTGAAATTAGCCTTTTCTGATTCGGAGAGTTTGTTCGAAATACTACAAGATGCCAATATTATAGTGAAGATACCTCAAGTGTAAAGCAATGTATGGCTCATTATTGTTGTTTAATCTATCAACTAACGTCCTCCCAAGATCCTCTATCTCTTTCGTATAGCGGAGAGCTTCAAAGTTGGCACGGCACCTTAATTTTTGAATGGATGTTGGTAGTCCATTATTAGCAAGCCTAGAATCAGTGTGTGTGAACTTGATCACCTTATGTCGCTTTAGCAATGGAAGCACCTTCTTTCTATAGTAACTAGCCTGCAAACGAAGCATCCATAAGACACCATTCCAGTAACAGAAAAATCAAACATCATGCAATTAACAAATTTTAAACCTTTGACCAGGAAATAGGGGCCTTTACAAGGGGCTTTTTTGCTGTGTACTTGGCGGGTAGATGCTCAACAATATTAACATCATCTTTCAGAACATTGATAAATTGCCTCCAGGCAAAAATATCCTTAAAATCACTGTGCAAACATGCATTGATAAAGAAGGTTAGATATTTTTAAGCTCACAAATAAGAGAAGTTGATGTTATATCAAACAATTGGAATGATTATTATTACCTTGGGTCTGTCCAAAATGATTCATGATCAAGAGAAGGAAGAACCAGGGTGGCATTCATTATCTTGGCAACAGCAACCATGTCACTTATCTGTAACTCAATAAAAAATTACAGATTAGCTCATGGTAAACACCAAAAGGTCGAAAAAAAATTGGAGAGAGCATTTGAGAAGACAAGGCTAACACTTACTCCCATTCTCATTTGATTCAGTCCGCCATTGGCATGAACGATAATATAACCATTAGTCGCCGTTGATTCGCCTCCTGTATTTAATCATGTCGAATTACTACTGATTACACTACACAGGAATATCAGTTTGTTTTCTTTATACGGATGGATGTGGTTACAAGTTGAGAAAGGAATAAGACATACTTGTTCGATTCTTAGTCCCGGTCCCAGATATACATTGATGGTAATTCTCGCCATTTGGTTTCATCCAAATTTCTGGGGTCTACGAATAATGCAAGCAGACTGATGGTATTAGACCAACGAATGAATAAAGCAACCCCATTCACTAGTAAACCAACCCAGAAAAAGGGTAAGAATTTTCTAGAGATGTAAGAAACCAATGCTCGTCATGAAGTAAACCCAGAACCGGTCAAAGTTACAATATTCAACTCAATAAAAGAAAGAAAAAAAGGACATTCATATTCATTTCAACTTACGGAGACCTTTTCGAGAACGCGTTTAGGCATGGACCGTTGAGTTCGGGTTTCGACATGGATCTCGGCGACAACGCGTTGGGCTGATGCCCAATCCTCTTTAGGCTTCTGCAAGACCAACACTCCCTTTTCTGATTTCCGCTTGCTGTTAATCTCGACGCGACTGCCAAGAAACGAGAGAAAAACCGAAACAACCGTCATAAACAACACAACTCCGAGGATCTTACGGCCCATGTTCTTGCCGGATCTCAAGCCGGAAACCATATTAACTGCCCGATGACACGTGTGGTCAACCCAGATGAACCATGCGTCCGGCACAAAAGAGAATAACAACATCTTTCTGTGAAGTAACAGGAGCGGATATCTTATCACCGGGTGGTGGTGGTGGTAGTGATGGTGGGCGCAGGAGGAACAAGTGTAAGGAATGTAACCGTTGGAGTTGTCGTTTTCTTCATGGTCGGAGCAAAGCTTGCAATAGTTCAAATTACAACAAGATGAATTGTTGCTGTCGGACTCTGTTGTTGGGAGTTCTGCCAACCGTCGTCTTGTTGTATTGTGTCCACCTTGTTTTGGGCTGCCGTTTGTCAATTTATTTGCAACTCCCGACGACATCGAGTTGCCAGAAGTCGGAGAGAATCAACAAAAGACGTAGAGGTGTGAAGGAAATTTCATTCATATATAGGATTTGCCGATTGGCATGCTTTGTCTCTCTATGATGCATTGGCAAATGGGGACACGCCATGTTTTCATGGGTTTTTCCGAACGTCCGAGACACAGTCTTTTTCCTCTTTTTATTTATTTTTTGAGTTAATTGCATCATATGTCCCCAAACTATAACCTCATTTTAAATTAGTCTTTAAACTTTTGAATATTCCAATTTCATCATCAAACTATGGCTCTCATTCTAAATTAGCCCTTAAACTTTTGAAAATTCTAATTTCATCCCTAAACTATGACCCTCTTTCTAAATTGGTCCCAAAACTTTTGAATATCCAATATCATCCCCAAATTTATCCAAATATGTGATTAGTTTCAACTATAGTCTAACCTAAATTTTGTTTTTTGTTTCAAACATACAATAATATAACTTGGTATAACGATTTTATTAACAAGAAATGTGATTTGTATATACATTTTTAGGATTAAATTAACATGTTCAAAATGTTTGGGGACTAATTTAGAATAAAGGTCATAGTATGGGGATGAAATTGAAATGTTCAAAAGTTTGAGGACTAATTTAGAATGATAGTCATAGTTTAGGGATAAAATTGGAACATTTAAAAGTTTAGAGACCAATTTAAAATAAACACCATACTTTGAGAACATATGATGCAATTAACTCTTTTTTTCAATGTTGAAATCATAATAATAACAAAATAAAAATAAATGTTTTTTTCAGTTACTAATACCAGATACTAATAATAATGATAATAACTGTCTAAAATAAATTGACGGTCAAAATTGTTATTATGATTTTTTCAGTTACTTATGCCATATACTAATAATAACAAAATTAGTACCATATACGATTGTCAAAACTATTGCTTTGACAACATATTTTAGTTACTTTTTATTTTCACATTCATATTATATAAGCATATTATGTGAATGAATTTGATTAGATTTAAATTTAAAAAAAAATGAGATTTAAGATACAATTGTTTGCATTTTAATTTTAGGATATATTTTGAGTTGAATTTAATCTCAAATTTATTTACAGTTTATTGTAATTAATCGTCTATAATTAACACGAAAAGAAAGGGAGTTGTGGAATATAGGGAGAGAAACTGAAGAATTATTGATCGGTAGAAATGGTAGTTTAGAATTCTACAAGTTAAAATTTTCAATTTGCGTACATTTGTTAGGGAAGATTCATGATGTTCGCATGCAAAGCTAATGGCTAACGATTTCTATATTGAAGTACCAAGTGGGTTACGTCTTGTTTTTTCCAACCAATCAATGGTTTATACATATAATTCTTGTAGGTTTGGTATATATTATTTTAATTAATCTGGGGTAAGTACAAGACAATATTTGTTTAAAGATATCTCTCAACTTCTCGATATTAAACCGTCACTTCCTTGACATTTATGGTGCTTGAACCTGGGTCCTAAAAAAATAACAAGAATTCATTTATCACGAAAGTCATTTGATTCGTGGTTGGTATACATTAAGATTTGAAAAATAAGGATGATCTTTAACTTTTCAAGATAAATGAGGTTGTACTAAACATACCATGAAATCAAAAGTTAGCCCAAAAATTGACATGCTAAGGTCCAAAGTGTTATGAATCAAGTGATTTTGATGGTAAAAGAATTGTTTTTTTTAAGTCTCGAGTTTGAATACTAGAAATGTCAGAGCAATGAGCGTTTAATATTAAATAGTTGAGAGTTATCTTTGATTAGATATTACCTTATACTTACCCATATTAATAAAAAAAATACCTCATTTGAACTTGATATCACTCATTACTTTATTTCATCCATCTCTTTCTGTTTTTGTAGCCTTTCCTTCTCTAGGCTGAAAGCATTCTCTGTAGTCCATAGCATATTACCTGCCACTAGGGGTGGGAATAGGCAGGCCAGCCTACAGGGGCCTACGGCCTGACTTATATAAAGTTTGGCATGGTCTAGCCTTTTTAATAAAAAGGTTCTGGCCTTTTTAATTTATCAGAGCCTTTTTAAAAGCCTGATAAATTAAAAAGGCCAGTCTTAGGCTTATTAAAAAGCCTTATAACCTGATAGGTCGGCCTATTTAGAGTGACTACTTTATAAAATACATTAAGTTAGAGTGACTTAATAGGGACTTTACTCTAAAATTAGTGACTAAACTGAAAATATTAAATGTTTATTGTTAAACTGACTTTAAATAGACTTTTAAACATGTAAGGCTTTTAAACAGGTCAGGCCGAACCAAAATAAAAGCCTTTGACAGGCTATAGGCCAGGCTCAGGCCTACAAAAATCTTCGTAGGCCAGGCTTAGGCCTATTAAAGCCTGGCCTGGCCTATTCCCACCCCTACCTGCCACACTGACAATCGAATATGTAAAGCGATTATTATAGACAATAAAATCACAAGAACGGAGGTCAAGTGTTTCTCCATGTGTGTTATGGTTCAGGGCTCTAAGTATTTCCAATATATGTTTTTATTTAAGTGATTTTTAAATTCCATTTGATGGTTGATTTCTTTAAGAAAAATGATTTAAGTTTCTTTATTAACCTAAAAGAAAAAGAAGAAAGTTAATTAAAGATTTAGTGAATGTTGGAAAGTGATAGAGATAGTAGTAAAATTGAGAAAGATAAAATGAAAATTGGAGACCTAATGAATTGTAATACTTAACGAGTTCATATGAATCAAATTAGAATCAAGATTATATATTGATTAATTTTCAATATTAATTTAATAAAGAGGAAGTTAGACAAATAAAAATTATTTAAATTTTGTGTCTATTTTTTAGATCTAGATTCGAACATCGAAATTTTCAAGTGTGCATGAGTTTAGATATTGGTCTTTTCACAAAAAATTAATATAAAAATATAAAAAATGTGTATATTTTCAAATATTCAAGTTTTATAAATATTTTACGGGTAAACTATACGGATAGTCCCTTATGATTTTGATCCGTCTGATTTTGGTCGCTGGTTAAAAGAAAAAGTGGTTTTGATCCCTGATGTTATCAATTTGTCCAGTTTTGGTCCTTTGACCGTGAACTTATGTTAACCCATTAATGGAATTTTTGGGTTATTCCTCCACACAAAAAGGATATGTTCTTTTTGGTTGCCTTTGTTATGCCACTCAAACACCCTACACAGATAAATTTGCTCATCGAGTTGTTACTGCTATCTTTATGGGTTATTCCTCCACACAAAAAGGACACGTTCTTTTTGGTTTAGAGTAAAAAGTTTTTGTTAACATTGAATGTTATTTTTCATGGAAATGTGTTTCCTTTTCATGCTACACTCTATGCAGATTCTTTGTTTTTTCCTTCTTCCTTTGATAATTTTTCAGATTTCTTACACATCCCTACTAAAATTACTCCTTCAGTTGTTTTGGAGCAACATCCTATTGAAGTTACTACTAACCATACTCCTCTTCTTGCTACTACATCTACCCTTAATCCATCTCCTGTTTTAGCACTACTTTCTAATAAACTTGTTCCATCGCAGCTTTCTTTTGTATCTATTCCAACATCTATTGTCCTTTCAGCAAGCAGTCCAGCTCAAATTGTTCTTTCTCGCAAATCCACTAGAATTCCAAGACCTCCTAATTAGTTGACTGATTATGTTCAATCCTTTCATATTTCTTCTTCTTCTTTTGTTTTTTGTTTGTATCTCATTTCCCATCATATTTTTTATTCTCACCTACCCTCTCATACTCACTCTTTTCTTTCCTCTACTACTCATATTGAACCTAAAAGCTATTCTGAAGCCATTAAACATGATTCTTGGGTCAAATCTATGAAGGAGGAGATCCATGCTTTGAAATTAAATAACCCTTGGGTAGTTGTTCCTCTACCTAATGGAAAAGTTCTCATTAGTTGTAAATAGGAGTACAAAATCAAGTACAAGGTTGATGGTGTTGTTGAAATGTATAAATCTCGTCTTGTAACTAAAGGGTATAGTCAAAATGAGGGGTGGACTATGTGGAGACCTTTTCTCCTGCTACCAAAACGATCACTATTAGAGTGATTCTTGCCCTTGCTGCTATGAACCAATAGCCTTTGTTTTAAATGGATGTTTATAATGCATGCCTTTTTGTAGGGTGACTTGTTTGAAGAAGTACATATGTCCTTACTTGAGAGTTTTTTGTAGTCAGGGGAGTCTCGAGTGTGTAGGCTACAAATTTTTTTATATGGTTTAAAGTAGGTTTCTCAACAATGGAATCTGAAATTAATAGAAGCATTGGTTGCTAATGGGTATTGTCAGAGTAAACGTGACTATTCCTTGATCACTGGCAGCGATGATACAAGAATTAAAATGAATTCTACATCATAATTTCAAGATGAAGGATATAGGGGGTGTGGAGTGTTTTCTTGGACTAGAAGTTTTAAGGTCAAAAGAGGGAATTCTTATCAATTATCGCAAGTATGCTTTGGAACCGATTGAGGATACTAGATTAGGAGGTGCAAAACCATCAATAACTCCTCTAGAATAAAATAAGAAACTTACTACAGTAGCCTATACGGTAGATAAAATCGAACGAACCGATAATATAAGGGATTAAAATCATTTTTCGAATTGACTATCATATAGTTTATATATATTTTAATTATTGTATTATAATTAAAATCATAATTATTTTGTTTCCTGAATATACGGGGGGTTAAAATAGAAACTAAATACCTAGTGAAAACCAAATCATATGGAGTGCTTATGTGGGGAGGAGGAGAAGAAGACTTCGTCAGTTTGTCTATTAAAATTAATCACATAATTAAAATGTTCTGATCTGTTGTCTGAATTAAGGATAAACTACATGATTAATCAATTTCTTTTAAGTTTTTTATATATTCCTCATTAAATTTAAAAATATAATAGTTGATCACTTTCGTTTTTATTTAATTAATATATGATTAATGATGATTAACTGTGTTAGATTTTTAACAGTATGTTAACGTGACACACTAAATATATAAAATTAAAAAAAGTAAACTACACAAATGATCACTAATATTTGAGTAAGTTTTCATTTTCTTCACAAAAGTTTGAAAATAACAAATTGGTCGGGATCATTTTACAATATATGTCCAAGAATTTACAATACAAACCCCATTAACACAGAAGGAAGCAGTCGAAGCATTTACAAGCATTATCCTTCGAGCTACACTTTGATTTTCAATACAAACTGTAAATTCAATCTTCTACAAGCTCGTTTTCTTTTCTTTTCTGCTTTGAGTTTAGTTTTATCCAAATTACTAATCTGCTCTTAACTTCCCTTCTCCTTTAAAATTAAAAGAAAAAGGCCAAAACAATAACTTTGCCATTAATCTTTAGGAATCGATAAGGACAATAACAATATTTCTCTACACATAAGACATAGTTCGGGAATGGATATTAGTAGATAACAACTTCGATGAATAGGATCAACGCCGATGAAAACTACTCTGATGCACTTGACGTTTGCCAGAAATGGGTTTTTCTCGGTGACAGTGGAGGAGGATCTGAAGGATTGTTTTCTCATAGACATGAAGATGATAATAATGGAGTAACTAATCTCTCTGGGTCGGATTCAAGTTTGGGTGATCCCGTTTTGAAGGATGGAGCGGCTCATAAACCTTGTTGGTTCAGGAGAAGTCCCGGACTCTCAACTCGCAGGACAATGCTTCTAAATGTTTCCGCTGCTTTCTTTTGTGTTGGTGAGATTCTGTACAGATTCACGTCGTTTTAAGAGATATGTGTATATATATATATATATTATAAAATAACTTTAATCAATTGTTATTTCTTCTGTCTAGGTGAGATTCTGTATCGGTCCACGTCATTTTGAGATATATATTATAAAATATTCTTAATTAATTTGTTATTTTTAATATTTTAACGAAAAATAAAAATTTATTTAAATATTAATAATTATTGTATGATTTAACTTTTTAATTTTATATATTTAGTGTGTTACGTTCACAAATGTTAAATATTTGACTATAACTAATTTTTAGTAATTATATTTTAATTAAATAAAAATAAAAATATATGATATTATATTTTTCATAAATATTACAAAACCTAAACAAAATTAAAATTTCCCTTGAATTAATTAAAATTGTTTGCTTCAAATTTTCTCCCCCGACATTTTATTTTCTTCGTATTACTACTCTGTTTCAAACCCAAACCACTTCCTCTCTCTAGGGTTTCCAAGGGAAAACTTTCAGAGAACCCCAGAGGGCACCCCACCCTAACATTAATTGTAAGGTTCTTGCAACTCACACAACAAGTTTACTGCGGTTATTTGATTCACGTGATTCAATTTTGTTTTCCGGGGAACAAATAAAAGACAGGAAAGCAGTTTATTTTAGCGGTTCCGGAGACGTTCTGGATCTTCATTTTGATGCAATTTCTACTTTGATTTCATGTTTCTGGTGAGTTTTAACCTAATTTCCTTTAATCTTTTCGATTTTCTCTTTCTCGTCAACCTTTTTGCTTTTGCTGGCGAGAGGGTTGATGTTGCTTGCGTATTTTTTTGTTGGTTAGGGTTTTTCCAATTGTTCGTTTACTTCGTTCACTTGCTAGACAATTTATAGTTTTAAAAGGCATAACTCAAAATAAGAAACACGAAAAATGAGGGAGAGAAAAGAGCAGGAGATGTTGGGTAGATTTGCTCATATTTTGACCAATTTATTTGCTAGGAGAGAGCTATCCATTTTATTTTTGTCGATTTAGCATCAATCGATTAGAGAAATTTCCCCCCAACAATAGATGTATTTATTATTAATAAATTATTTTCATCTTGCTTACCTTTTCGGATAGGTTCTTAGTTCACGGTGTTTTGGTAAATGCTGAATGATTGCTAGTATGGACTTAAATGTTTCGCCAGTACCTGAAGATGATGAAGAGACATATGAAAGACATATAGAACATTACTCTGCACCAGAAGAACATATAGAATCTGGAGTTGAAATTTCACGGCGGGTACATCTCAAAGTCACTTCTGGCTTTCTTCTGTTTTTCTTTTTCTTCCGTCTAAAGAATGAATTTTAGTTGCTCTTGGTACCTATCATCCATTGGAAATATTTCCTGCCTTTTAGTTATTTATTTTTGGTTTCATGTGCACAAGATGTTGAAGTTGTTTGGGTTAATTTAGTTGGTTTCAGGTGTAGTAGCTCTCCTTATTGTCTTCGTTAAATGCGGTGGCTTGTATATCCATTATACCGGAAATTGTTTTCTCTTGAGAAGAATTTGTTTTCACAATTTTGATTATTATTCGACATGCGCGTATGGTTCCTCTTTCTTTTTCCATCTTATGCTTCCCTTTTCTGTTTCCTGTCTAGGTCAAGCACATAATATTGTGTTGTTTTTGTTTTACACTTCAGAAGGGTTTCTTTTATCTTCATATTTTTGCATCAATGTTCAGTCATTTATTCATGATAATGGAATTTCACACTCTTAGGAACGTGAAGAAAGACGAAAGAGACTTAAAAGAGACCGATCAGATGACCGTCCAGTGCATGTCTCTCAGCCTCCTGTAAATGAACACTTTTATCAAACTAAGAATTTCAGGTCTTATGATAAAAGTAGGCTCCCTCCTGGTAAGATCCCTGACATTGAACAGTAGTTGCGAACTATTTTTGGGGTTACTGTCAATGTATTTTTAATAATCTTCGTGTTCCATTGCCAAATATCGTATGTATTGTTTTTAAGGTTTGTGTTCTTGTTCTGTATTTTTATTAATTTTTAATACCAATTAATAGTTAATGATGGTTTTATGTGAGTAATTATCAAAATGGTTTCTATAACATAAATGATCAATGTAAGAATTCTGTGAATTCAATGTTTGAAGTTGATGGCATGAATGATTGTGTCAGCCTTCCAGAGTGTATTTTGACATTGGTATCATGACAAGAGTAAACAGATTTGTTTTTAATTATTAGTTGTTTCATTTTTGCGCTTAAGTTGATGATTCAATTGATTTATTAACATTTTAAATGTAAGTTGTTGTTTAAGACATTGGATTTATTTTTATCCTTGCAATTCTGTGTGCAGGTTGGCTTGATTGTCCTTCAGCTGGTCAGGAAATAGGCTGTATTATTCCTTCTAAGGTTCCGCTTGGTGAGGCTTATAATGACTGTATTCCTCCCGGTAAAAGATACTCTTTTAAACAAGTGATTCATCAGCAAAGAGTTTTAGGAAGAAAGGTATACAGGCAATGTTGCTTTGACAATGTTAATACCCTTTTAATTATCCCATGAAATGCAAAGAGGATCATTTCTATCACCATCTCCATCAAACAAATGGCATGCTAAATTTTTTTGTGAAGGAGTCTGGAAATCCTCGAAATTGCTGGTTCATATTAACTATAGATTGAAAATGCATATCGGTACTAAGGTGGTTATATAAAGCTAGGTAGTGAACATGTTTGTAGTACCATTCATGATTTGCAAAAACTATTTGTTCTAAGGATGTGCAACAATGCTTTCGTGCATGTCACACAAATAAGTTGGACATTAGTTTCTGTTGGATAAGTCATAAGAGTTGTGAAGAGTTAATAATAATTTTTACCTTGTCTTCAATATTTTGTTTTCAGCTTGGTTTGGTGATTGATTTGACAAACACATCTCGTTACTATCAAACTACAGACCTGAAGAGAGAAGGCATTAAGCATGTAAAGGTGAGCATAGGTGTCTTATAGTTTACTGCTTCTCTTGTTGATTGCAGCATTGTTTTAATTTTTTGGTTTTTGTTCTAGATCCAATGCAGGGGAAGAGATGCTGTGCCTGAGAATGTGGCTGTAAATACCTTTGTTTACGAGGTACTTTTACTATGATGCTTATCATTTTTTCTAGAATGTCTTCTGTTACCTCTTCTTAAATGTGATTCATGTTATAGTTGTGGCTGGTATTTTATGTTTCCTTACCATCATGACTCTATTGTCACCCCACTTCTGATTGAACTTGTACGTTGCTGTTTTCTTGGTTTTAAAAAGCGTAAAGCGCCCTAAAGCGCCTAGGGTCCTAGACGCCAAAGCGCTAAGAGAAAGCGCTCGCTTTATGCACACGAAGCGCCAGAAAAAAATACAGAATATTTATAAATTATCTTATAAATACTTAAATATCAAAGTTTCAATGCATATATTCAAAACTTATAAGTACTTAAACACCAAAATATAATTCTCAATTTACTTATAAGTTATAAACACTTAAATACTTGTATACCATTAACCATACGACTATACGAGCATATTAATCTCAAAAGATGGTTTACACCAAAAGTAGTATAAAGTGAGATGAACAAAAGTATTTTCTAAACCCTCACTTCCTTATAACTAAAAATCCTCTAAATTGTCATCGTCATCAACTCGGACAACACCTTCTCCTTCATCACTAGACACTCCAATATCTTCTTCCATCTCATCTTCATCAACTAAGCATCTACGAGATGGTCTACTAGAGATAGTATTATGAGCAGGAGATTTTCCTTTATCATTTCTCGATGGTCCGGCTCCATCATTCACTACTTTTGATGCTCTAGTTAGATAACTAGGCTCATGCACCGGAAGCGTTAGCAACATCACTCCATGTCAAATCCTCACCAACAAACACCGCCTCATCATCATCTTCATCATTTTTCATTCTTCCCATCAACCACTCATTGCTCTCATCAATATCTTGCAAAAGAATGGGATCGGTCTCCTTACTTTTAGCTCGGCGCTCCAAGGCACGATTGAATTTCAAAAACACCATGTCATTTAATCTAGATTGTGCCAATCTATTTCGTTTCTTAGTGTGAAGCTACAAGAAAAAAACCAAAATTTGATGTTAGCAACATTATGCATATATATATATAAAATTTCCGGCAATATTGTTAAGAAAAAACATGTAAAAATAACTTGTTGAAAAACACTCCAGTTTCTCTCACAACTTGTAGCACTACAAGTGAGACTAAGAATCCGTATAGCAAACTTTTTCAAGTTAGGAGCCGAAGATCCATACATTGTCCACCAATCAGCTATAAAAAAATGTAAAATGAACATGAAGCATAAACGAACTTCCTCAAATCCAGGAGTGTTTATACGTGTGAAAAAAGTAAGTGAGAGAAGCTGGAGCTTCTCTCTAACCTAGGAGATTTTAAATTTCAAAATTCCAAGGGAAGAGAGGGAGAGAAAGAATATGAGTGATGTTTGACAACCTTCTCCATCGTCGTCCGTCGCTTGCCATCCACCGTCCGTCGCTTGCCGTCCGCCGTACTCCGACCACCGTCCGCCGCCGCACATCGACCTCCTTTTGACGCCTTTTTTCTTAAGGATCATCGTCTATCCATAGAGTTTCCTTTTTCCTGGTTTATTTTGATTGATTCCCCTTCAATCGGGGTAAATCTAAACGGCTTTCTTCGCCGATTTTTCCATCAACAGTCTTCAAAGTTCGTTCTAGCTGTGCACGCCGGAAGCTCGTGACAAAAACCCAAGTATTAAACTATGAACACCCACTGTCGTTCACCGGAATTTTACTGCGCAAAAATTCCGTCACTGTTCAAGAGCTCTATTTTCAGAACGCTGCTGCTTGTTCTGGGTTTTCACGCACGTTGTCATAAACCTTTTCATCTATGGTTTTTTTTTTGTTCAAAATTAAACAGTTCAGAAGCCTCTGCATTCAAAATGACGTTCAAGAATCGCGATGAAGCAATAGAGAAACGGGTTGAAACCTCAGCTCGTCAGACTAAGAATAGTCGTCAGTCCGAGATAGACGAAAATGAGAACGTAAATCCTTTGAAAAAACCAGATATTAAGACTAAACGGTTGGATTTTATACTGTCGAAGGTGACTGAAGCGGAGCATCAAAATCAGAGAGATGGGCAACAGACAAAGACTGTGCATAAATCAGAGGAGGCGAGGAAGAAGCTGAGTAGTACAGTGGTAGCGGAATAATATGAGAGGATGGTGTTGGTGACAAACAAGAATAGGAATGATTCGTTGGTTGAAGCAAGGAGTGTGGAAGGGGCCATTGCGCAGATTTCTGAGGCGAAAATCCTTCCTCAGGATTCTCACTTTTTTAACTACTGGAGGAAGAAAGATTATCCAAGAATCAACAATGGGTTTAGAACTGGTTGCTTTACGTTATACATTGATGATTTACCAGAGAATATCCATTGGAAGCGGTTTGGATCGTTATTTTGCCCATACGGTCAGGTTATTGACGCCTTCATTCCAACTAAAAGAAATTCAAAGGGGGTACGTTTCGGTTTCATTCGCTTTGCTACAATTGGAGAAGCCCGGAGAGCGATCTCAAAGATGAATGGCGCTCGCATTGATGGTAGTAAAATTGGAGTCTCTTTTTCTAAATACAACACAAGACATTCTTTTTGAAGAAAGTCTTCGCCAGTTGTCCACCTAAAGCCCGAGAGAGAAAATGTTACAAGAAATAATCTCTATACAGTAAATGGTGTTGTTGACGAAGCTAAACTTCAAGTTTTGGATAACTGCCTAATGGGGTGGTGCAAGAACTATACCAAAATCGGTGATCTTGCTAGCCAAATGCAAGACAAAAGACTCGACGGTTTCTCGTTAATGAGAGCTGCTGGGAATGTAGTTCTCATGATATTCGAGGATTCTGATACGTTGAGAAGGGTTAAGAATGAACAATCAGAGACTCTTGCAGGGTGGTTTTCTAGAGTTGAAGTTTGGTCGGAGAATCTAGTGGTAGAATGTCGTCGAGTATGGGTAGTTTGCGAAGGGATCCCCTTTCATGCGTGGAATTGGGGTACTTTCAAGAACATTACAGCTAGGTGGGGCAAATTAGTATCAATTGATGAAAGCTCTTAGTTTCCTTCATCTTTTGATCGTGCAAAACTTCAAATCCTCACAGAGACTAAAGTGAGGATTGATGAATCCTTGAGTTTGAAGGTCGGTTCTAATTCTTTTGAAATCATGGTGCATGAAGTTGAGCCTTCTTTCAACCCAAACTCTTGAATCCTTGAGGAAGTTGATGATTCTCCAAATCTGAATTGTTTTCTTGGGGCAATGTTGGAGAATTCTCTGTCAGGATCGTCAGTGTCATCCCCAGGTTTAAATTGCCCCGTCGAAGATGTTGCAATTGAAGGTTCCCACTTAGAAAAGATTTCACTCATAAAGAGTGTCAAAAGCGATGAGAAACCGAGTAACAAATGGGGTTGCACACAATGGAGGTTGTGGATCATT